AATTTTCACCCTTCCATATTTCATCCTTAAAGTTAGAAATAGTCGTTATTTCTCTTTAAAATAAATTTCGATTTTTGTTTAAAAGAAACATTCGCGGTATAATTGCAATTTTCGTTTTACACATATATATATTACCTGTGATTTGAATCGAAAGGTGTCACGTGAAGTCGTTGTTTTGATGCATAATTTTACCTGTTTCACAGGTTAGAGTCATGGGTGGTGGGACGAACACATATCCAGAATACAATATAACGCGGCTGATGATTGTAAAACGAAAATTTAAATTATACCGCGAATGTTTCTTTTATAAAAATCGAAATTTATTTTCAAAGAGAAATAGCGACATTTCTAACTTTGAGGATGAGGTATGGAAAGGTGAAACATGAAGAGTAATGGCGAACGGAAAAATAAAAAGTGTCCAGGGGCGGGAATCGAACCCACACCCTTCTGCTTACCGGGCAGGTGCCTTGTCCACTCGGCTACCCTGGACGTATTTTTCCGTTCGTAACTAATACTTAAAGTAACATTTAAAATACAATATAACGCGGCTGATGATTGTAAAACGAAAATTTAAATTATACCGCGAATGTTTCTTTTATAAAAATCGAAATTTATTTTCAAAGAGAAATAGCGACATTTCTAACTTTGAGGATGAGGTATGGAAAGGTGAAACATGAAGAGTAATGGCGAACGGAAAAATAAAAAGTGTCCAGGGGCGGGAATCGAACCCACACCCTTCTGCTTACCCGGGCAGGTGGCCTTGTCCACTCGGCTACCCTGGACGTATTTTTCCGTTCGTAACTAATACTTAAAGTAACATTTAAAATACAATATAACGCGGCTGATGATTGTAAAACGAAAATTGAAATTATACCGCGAATGTTTCTTTTATAAAAATCGAAATTTATTTTCAAAGAGAAATAGCGACATTTCTAACTTTGAGGAGAGGTATGGAAAGGTGAAACATGAAGAGTAATGGCGAACGGAAAAATAAAAAGTGCCATTACTCTTCATTTAAAATACAATATAACGCGGCTGATGATTGTAAAACGAAAATTAAAATTATACCGCGAATGTTTCTTTTATAAAATCGAAATTTATTTTCAAAGAGAAATAGCGACATTTCTAACTTTGAGGATGAGGTATGGAAAGGGAGAAACATGTTTCACCTTTCCATACCTCATCCTCAAAGTTAGAAAATGTCGCTATTTCTCTTTGAAAATAAAGTTTCGATTTTTATAAAAGAAACATTCGCGGTATAATTTTAATTACTCTTCATGTTTCACCTTTCCATACCTCATCCTCAAAGTTAGAAATGTCGCTATTTCTCTTTGAAAATAAATTTCGATTTTTTATAAAAGAAACATTCGCGGTATAATTTCAATTTTCGTTTTACATATCCAGAATTTTTGACTGTTAGTGGCGACGATATAAAACTTGTGTGGCTCGAAATAGGATTTGTTTGTTAAGTCGCGCATTAATAATTGTTGCCAATTGAAGAACGTGATGTTCGAGGGTGTTGTTGAGTTTTTTTGAGAGAGATGTATGGTTGATTAATTATGCATGTAAAAGGAAAGGACGAGGAGTGTAACTATGTTGGAATTTAAAAGTGATAATAAGTTTGGCGGGCGGTGACCTAATTAAGCTATTTGCGGGAATTAGACCGAATCTTTACTTTTAACTTGTTTTGGAGTAGGACAGTTGTTATGAATTTGAGATATTGCCTCTAAGGAGAGAAATCACGAAAGATTTTTGAAATTAAGAAATGCGTTTCACACCTATGTTAATTTATATTTTAAAAAAATATTTTTTTATCGTTGATTATGATAGCGTGAAAATTATCCTTGTTAATTGGCAATTGCGTGATAGTGATAAATAAGTTGAATGGGTCGTTTACATAAAATGGTGAACATGACGATTTTTACAAAATATCAAGTATTTGATTAAGAAATTAGGGTTATGGTATAAAAATAAAATATTTAAAAATAATAATAATAATAAGTTTCGAATTTTGTTATGATGAGAGTTTTTTTTTCATAATAAAAATGTTTTTTAAGCTGTAGATTTGGATAATACCATTATAGGTAAATTAAGGGAATACATGTAAAATTAGTAGAGTTGATGAAAATGTGCGATTGGCGAAATCTTTTAAAGAAAAATTGAAAGTAATGAATTAAAATTCATAATTTGATCAAAAATAAAGTAGAATTTGATAAATGATAGTGTGGAAGTTTTAAAAATTGACTTAAAAATGAAATAAAAAGGTAAAAAATGGATTTAAAATGATTTAGGAGAAAATAAACAGAGAATCGATAAGGAATCACGTTGTAGGCTTTGGGAGAAAGTTATGTAGGTTTTTAAAAAGCGCACAATTTTGATTAAAGTTCAGTCAGGAGACTTAGCCTTGGTTGTCGTCCTGCTGACATGGAAGGCGCTCCATGTAGGGCTTTTAGAAACTTGTAGCTTCTATAAAATTGATTGTGGCTTGTCGCCTTGAGTATTGTCTCGATGTCAGGGCGAAGATAGAGAACTTCTAACCGCGGTTTGAGCTACTCTACTCTCGGTTTCCATGTCTTGCGGTATTTTCAACTGGGTCGTTGGGGGTTGTCAGCTTGCTCCTGTCGTTGGCGATCTGTGTTAGCGGGTCTGCAGAGGTCCCTTGGGACGGCGCTTCCTCCTCTCAAATTTGCCCCTTTTCGTTCTTCCATCTTTGCTCTTTCTCGCTTCTATCTGGACAGGCTTTGTTGTGAATATGAGAGAATAGAAATAAAAAAAAATAGAAAGAATTGAGAAAATAATAAAATAAATAAATGTGATGATGAGGTTTGGTAGCCTCTTGTAGAATCCTGTCGACTATAAATGTGGTGAGGGCCTGTCGACTCTTGTAGAATCCTGTCGACTAAATATGTGATGAGGTATCCAGTCGACCTAAACTATGGTGTGAGTCCCTGTCAACTCTCGCTATACTGTGTTGACCGAGAGGAACAGTCAGGATGGGGAGTTTTCCAGTACCTCTCTGCACCTTGGAAGACCTTTAAGAGTTCTCACAAAGTACAGGCAGTCGTGGTCGAGGCAGAGTGGAAAGCTTGGGAATGTCCACACAAAAAAAAACGAAGACACAGTTGCACTAAGAAAGTTCCGTGAACAGATAAAAGTTGAGCTAAGAGCGAAAGATGGAGATAGAAGAGTTCTTACTGGTCTACATGGTCGATGAGATGGACCTTGGTGATAATCGACAAGGGCTCACGCAGATGGTGAAGTGACTGTCAAGTGACTCTATTTTTGGCTAAGACGGAGTCTTTATATACCTTTTCTGAGAAAGAGAGTATTGCATTTCAGCACATGTGAAGAGTGTGGATCGTCTGGCGAAATTCTAAACTGGCGCCGTCCTGACAGTTTTCAATCTATCTTTAGATGTAATTTTGTGACTTCCATCTATCTCGAATTTAGACGTTTTGACCTTTTGCTTTAGCTCAACTCTTAATCTATTACAGAGTTTTATTTATTTATCCTCAGTATGTACAAAATACATTACATATGATGATGTAATGACACATGTCAATCATGCGTAAAATCATTTACAGATGTGTTTCTATTATACAACATGAAAATATTGTTATAAGTTATATACAATATGGGGATGTTGGTTTAAATTACCATAGATGGGCCCCGGGAGTGAAAGGGTTTATCCGGGTTTAAGCGGATGAAGCCTCTCTAACACAGGTAAGTAATTAAAATTTCTTTTAATTAATTTAAACTGTGAGGGTTAAAAAGGGTTATAACAAGATGATTTGTTTGGATATAAAAAAGTGAAATAAAAATTACATTTTTGTTTGATTTTAAAAGAATGATGATTAAAATAAAATGATGGCATAAAAATTCACATTTTAAGAGAATATTGGCGGGCGTTGGAAAGGGTTAGTAGTTGAAGAATATGCAATTGTTAGGAGTGCACATGTAAACCAAATACTTAGATCCAGGTGCAAAGCGAGGAAATAGACTTGAGCGTCTTCCTAGGCAATGTTTCACTTGCGATCCTATATAATGGTTACAGTGCTTTGTCACAATTTTAGGGTTATAGGTTAAAAAGTTGAAGAAATGGTTGCTCATTAATATGATTTGGAAAGGAGTGAAATAGAGCCATGCTATAAGTAGAATTGTTGTAGCGACAGTAGGTGGTCTGACTTGACTCGAAATCAAAGGTTGATTGTGGTCCGCTAGAGCTGAAAAAAAAAATTGAGAGTTGAAAAAAGTGAACGCTTTATGCATGCGTTGGTGATTGTGTATCTGCGGATGATTGAAATTAACTCTTGAAGCGTGTTCAGGCCAGAAGTTGGGATTTTTAAATCTGGGGAACTGTGTTCAAAGAGCTTATTGAAATTACGAAATAAAAAAAAAAATTGTCAAGCAGTACTGTTGTTACTACGATGGTTTGAAGCAATGGCTGAAATTGATAGTGATGAAAAGTATAGGGAAGTGGTTAAAGAATAATGATTGTTGAAAACGATTGTTGTAGATGCCCGATAGTTGATGATAAACATTGTCATATAATAAAGCTATTTAAACAAATATAAAATATAGTGAATAAAAATATAGAAATATATTTGCGGGTAAAAAAAGTGTAAGTGGACAAAATCAAGCATGTAATATATAAAAAGATATAATAATTGAGAAAATAAAAATGATTTTTGAAACAATTAAATGTTTTGCAATACTAAAATAATATCATGAAAAATAAAGTAAATTTGATTAAAGTTTTTTTTTTTTTTTTTGAAAATCGTGTTGGATAACAAATTTGATTATACAATTGAAAGGTAAAAATAAATTAAAATTTAAAGATTTAATACAAATATATGAATGTAATTAAAGGTTATTAATGATTGGATAAATGATGGGTAGTGGAAAATTGAACAAAAATTGTCTCTTTTGAAGAAAAGTTACAACTGTGGTAACTAGATCATATCCCTTTGGTAAACATCGGTGTTTTTGTCTCTCTGAAGCTGGGAATATGTGAAATGATATTTTCCTTTGTCCAAAATTGTGATTTCTTTTTTGCGTCATAAATCTTTATAAGACTTAACCAAATTGTTTAATCGGTGATATCAATTAACATGTAAAATGTTTAATGTATGTTGTGTTGTGATTAAGGCGTTGGTGAGATTTGTGAGAAAACCTAAATGGTTAGTGTGAAAAATGTGTTTAAAATGGTGATCGTGAAGATAGCGGTCAAGATGATAGCTTTGTGAGAGGAGAGAGGACATTGTCCTGGGATATGTAACTGAAATAGATTCGGGGATCCTATTACTGGGGGTCACTCGTGCGGGGTGTTTATTTTTGTCATTTACTTGAAACTGACTTTCTTCTTTTGTTGAGTTTGGCAATTTTTTCGTGTCTTGGAGTTTCGACGTTGTGGCGGACTTAATAGAAATGTTATTCGGTGATGTAAGGTTTAGATGTGAGTGAAAGTGCGACTTTCGACGTGAACACGCTTTGGGGTGAGATGTGTCACAGGCATGAAGGCGTCTTTGGCCTGAAAAGTGAAAAGGTTTTGTGGTGTGACGCTGTGACACGAAGTGGAAAATTGTGAATGAAAAAGAGTCACACGAAGTCGTTGTTTGGTACAAAATCTAACCTGTTTCACCTTGAATAACAAATTTACTAGTCATGGGTGGTGGGATGAACACATATCGAGAATATTTATATTGCTAGTGGATATGGCACGTTTAATGTTAATTTTATTTTTATTGTGGCGAGACGATATAGAGCTGAGTGGAGCTTGTGT